TGGGGGGGGGGGCAACACACTGATGAAAGCTTGGGGGGTGGAGGGGTACCAAGTATGTCCCGGGGCAAAGACAATGAAACAAATCAACACAACGTGGACGTCCACATTCATCAAAGTTCAAAACTCATGAGAAGGCTATTGTTCGAGCCACTGGTCACGGGGGCTATTTTAAGATGAAGGTCCTCCGATAGGTTTTATGATTTTATCCAGAAAATAGAACAGCAATTCTTTGGAAAATCCCACGCGGGCGGGGCAGAGCGCGGCGTGGGTCGCCGAGATCCAGCAGACGCAATGCGCTTTTTAATCAGCCGGGGTCATCGGCAGAGATGGACGCGCCACATGCCCCAAACAGGAAGCAGGAAGCGGCTGCCCAATGACGCGGAGATGTTCCACGTCCAGATGTTTACTGGCGACCGTGAAAATCAGCGCTGACGAATGACTTGAACAAATGTCAAATACAACGGAACTAAAAGCCCCCGGCTTTGGTATGGTGGAGCAAGCGGGCCATTTCAGGTAGCCCTTGTCAAGCTAAATCAGTGATGTGATCAGCCACGCACTAGGACGGACGTTTGTTTTCGCAATCGGAATCCAAGGGCTTCCTCATATTGATGGATATCGACGTTGACTTTTTCCGATGGGTAGGAGTGAAATTCAGCTTTGCAAACGACGGCGAGGCCTAACAGATACCAGCTGATGGCAGCATCGCATGGCTTTGGATTTGAGCTCAGCACAGCTTTTGAGCGGCGATGAAGAGCAGGCGGCAAATCTCAGATGCTCCCATCAATAATGTGGACGGAAAACGCCAACTCAGAAGTTCGGACAGGCTTGGACACTTCAAAATTGAACACAGTATCTATGGCGTAACCAGAGGATGCGTTGCGGTAAGTGCTAGAATGTGTGTTGCAATCGCAAAACAGGACGACCCAGTTCACGGCAAGCCACGAAGGTTCAACCCGAGCCGTGGGGTGAGATTCATTTTATCGTTGCATACCTGGACATAAAAGACTATTTTTTGGCGAACAAAAGTCCTTTCTCTGTCTTGTTTTCGTCGGCGACTTTGAGCTGAGCGGCTCCTGGGGCCGACCTTACGTGTTCCACTGGAAATGAAAGCTCACGCTGCAGGCTACATATCATTTGGATCATTAGCGTGAGGCCCTCTGCGACATATTTTCCCTTGAATCAAACTGGACCTCAGTCAGCCCTTCATCTCACAACTATGTGCAAACGTTAAGTGGCTTTGTGATAAAATATGACCTGCCGCTTACTCATTTTGCTCTCCAGTCATCCCTAACATCGAGTTCCTCCTCGTGCCTATCGCTGTGTCGGCCTCGTCTGGCAAAACTTCCTGACATGCAAGAGGAAAGTTAAAAAAAAAAAAAAAAACCTCCCCTGGCAGTGACCGGGCCAATTGACCTCGCACGGGCCGACGGAGTCCTGATGAGCGTCTAAGCCATGAGCCAAAAGAGGGGGTGCGTCGGAGCGGATGGCATCAAAGTTTAACATTCATAATACAGAAAATGAGAAGGCAATCAGTGTGAAGTGGAGCCAAAAGCTTCTTTGCTCCATGGTGGGAATGTCGAGAAAACCTTTTCGATCCAATTCACTGAGGAGACGTAAAGAGTACAAGTGCAGCAGTCCCCCGCAATATTGCGCTTCCTCTACTTTGGTTGCAGATTTTTCTGTTGAACATTTTCAAAGTGTGTCCCAAGTTTTTATAGATTTAAATATTATATGGAAGGACAAACGAGAGGAGCCACAGTCTCGCGGGTTGCAAAATAGTAAGCGCGACATCTATCACGTGTCTGACGCGGCTCTCAAAAAGTCGAAACTTGCGAACGCACGCAAGCTCCATTTCCCATGATGAGCCTTCCGTTCCCGCCACCGAAGACATATGCCATCGAGTCAGGTGCTTCCTTTTTTGGAACCGATCATCCCCAACAGCTGCTGAAGAGGGTCTCCTCTGACGGATGACTTGGAAAAGTCTCAGGGGGGTGGGGGGCAAAGACAATGAAACAAATCAACACAACGTGGACGTCCACATTCATCACAGTTCAAAACTCATGAGAAGGCTATTGTTCGAGCCACTGGTCACGGGGGCTATTTTAAGATGAAGGTCCTCCGATAGGTTTTATGATTTTATCCAGAAAATAGAACAGCAATTCTTTGGAAAATCCCACGCGGGCGGGGCAGAGCGCGGCGTGGGTCGCCGAGATCCAGCAGACGCAATGCGCTTTTTAATCAGCCGGGGTCATCGGCAGAGATGGACGCGCCACATGCCCCAAACAGGAAGCAGGAAGCGGCTGCCCAATGACGCGGAGATGTTCCACGTCCAGATGTTTACTGGCGACCGTGAAAATCAGCGCTGACGAATGACTTGAACAAATGTCAAATACAACGGAACTAAAAGCCCCCGGCTTTGGTATGGTGGAGCAAGCGGGCCATTTCAGGTAGCCCTTGTCAAGCTAAATCAGTGATGTGATCAGCCACGCACTAGGACGGACGTTTGTTTTCGCAATCGGAATCCAAGGGCTTCCTCATATTGATGGATATCGACGTTGACTTTTTCCGATGGGTAGGAGTGAAATTCAGCTTTGCAAACGACGGCGAGGCCTAACAGATACCAGCTGATGGCAGCATCGCATGGCTTTGGATTTGAGCTCAGCACAGCTTTTGAGCGGCGATGAAGAGCAGGCGGCAAATCTCAGATGCTCCCATCAATAATGTGGACGGAAAACGCCAACTCAGAAGTTCGGACAGGCTTGGACACTTCAAAATTGAACACAGTATCTATGGCGTAACCAGAGGATGCGTTGCGGTAAGTGCTAGAATGTGTGTTGCAATCGCAAAACAGGACGACCCAGTTCACGGCAAGCCACGAAGGTTCAACCCGAGCCGTGGGGTGAGATTCATTTTATCGTTGCATACCTGGACATAAAAGACTATTTTTTGGCGAACAAAAGTCCTTTCTCTGTCTTGTTTTCGTCGGCGACTTTGAGCTGAGCGGCTCCTGGGGCCGACCTTACGTGTTCCACTGGAAATGAAAGCTCACGCTGCAGGCTACATATCATTTGGATCATTAGCGTGAGGCCCTCTGCGACATATTTTCCCTTGAATCAAACTGGACCTCAGTCAGCCCTTCATCTCACAACTATGTGCAAACGTTAAGTGGCTTTGTGATAAAATATGACCTGCCGCTTACTCATTTTGCTCTCCAGTCATCCCTAACATCGAGTTCCTCCTCGTGCCTATCGCTGTGTCGGCCTCGTCTGGCAAAACTTCCTGACATGCAAGAGGAAAGTTAAAAAAAAAAAAAAAACCTCCCCTGGCAGTGACCGGGCCAATTGACCTCGCACGGGCCGACGGAGTCCTGATGAGCGTCTAAGCCATGAGCCAAAAGAGGGGGTGCGTCGGAGCGGATGGCATCAAAGTTTAACATTCATAATACAGAAAATGAGAAGGCAATCAGTGTGAAGTGGAGCCAAAAGCTTCTTTGCTCCATGGTGGGAATGTCGAGAAAACCTTTTCGATCCAATTCACTGAGGAGACGTAAAGAGTACAAGTGCAGCAGTCCCCCGCAATATTGCGCTTCCTCTACTTTGGTTGCAGATTTTTCTGTTGAACATTTTCAAAGTGTGTCCCAAGTTTTTATAGATTTAAATATTATATCGAGACAGATGAGAGAGAGAGAGAGAGAGAGAGAGAGAGTTAACTTGAGAGGGAGGTGAGGGGGGTTAATGTACAATGGATCATTGTCCAGTAGTCGAGGCGGAAGCTACCAGATGAAATAAAAATGTCAACATCTCTTCATTTCAACCTTCAAGTAATGCGTGTATCATCAACAGCTTTAGCTCAAAACTGCAACAAGTGGGCACGCACCTTGGGTGAATTTCATATAATGGACTCGCTTTTTGGACGTCTTGGATTTCTCTTCCAGGCTGAAGCCTTTCTGCTCCTCCGACTGAGTTTCTGCAGGACATACACGGACGGGGTGGAGGGCATCCAAATGAATAGTGCGTTACTCCCTTCCCGTCAAACGCTGTGGTGTTTTCCACAGCTTAATAGCCAAAATGTCCCATGTTTTGTACCGCAGCACCCTCTAGTGTCCCAGGAAGGGAAGAGATGGGGCTCCGATCTCGAAATGTTCTCATACAGAAGAGAATGTTGCAAAATAAACCGGGGGGAGGGGGCACGGTTAAATCATTTCATCGGTCCACTCGAATTTTGGTTTGCGACACAGAGCACCCCTCTCCCCCGCCCCCAAAAATGTGTTTTTATTACCTGTGCTATTTTGGCCATGACAGTTATTGAGCTGAGCAAGGAGGTCGTTGAAATCATCCTGGTGTGCAATCCAGTTGTCCTGGAAACACAAGGGTGGGCATTAACTGAATTTCATCCAATCAAACTGGAGAGTGCAGATTTTGTTGGTTGAGAAATGTATACTGGGACACTCCGGACAAGAGAACTTGGGCTAACTCCTTCATGAAAACTCATGATGAGGACAGGAAACAGAGACAAAACGTCCACCGTTTTCTCCGAGAAGCAAAGGTCAAGTGCAAAAGTGCAAAATGAGCTCACCTCTTGGCTGCCATTGGCGCCTAGGCCATAGCTGTTGTTTTTCACTTTGACTTTGATATGGTCAATGGCTCCTTGCTCACTTCTGCCGAGGCCCTGCACACAAAGTGCTCTTTTGAGTGACATACACGACATGGCTCTGGTCACACTGACAACACATCAAGTACAACAACCCAAATTGTCATTGACAGTTTTTTTTTTCTTTTTCGTGTGAAGCATATATGACGACCCATCCATTATTTATTACATGTTGTAAATTCTATTTGTATTCCATTCACTGATTCTTTCACAGACCACTAGCAAGACCCCCATTGTTTTTAATGCTTTTTTTTTTTTTACAGTACACTTACTTACGCTCTCACGTGTGGGGAAAGTACAGCCAGAGTCGCCGGTGAAGTTTTGCCAATACGTCGGCCCAATAAATAAGCCCTAAGCAACCTAACCCCATGACCCAACAGGGCAGCTGGGACACCCACCTTGCCCTTAGACCAGCCCATGCGCTCCAGCATCTTCTGTCCAAACTTGGACTCGTCATTGCTCCAGGCACTGTTCCGCGGATCGACTGACCACTTTTGTTTTCTGCGGGCTGAAAAAACAGAGCGGCATTTCCCCAAGAGGAATTACTAAGGAAAACAAAATTTATATACTGTATATAATTTTTTTTTGGGGGGGGGGGGTGGAAGTCAACTCAAGTTTTCACCAGGGCAAACAAAATGTTTAATATGTTTTGTGTACAGGTAATTTGTTGTGTTGTAAATAAAGCGTGTCGTTTGTTGTACAGTATTTAACTCAAAGTGAAAATGTAAATTTCACATCCGGAGTACGTCGACATATTTAAAGAACAGCTTAAAGTGTTCATCTGTACGGCCTCTTTAATTTCAACTGGTATGAATGACGCAGAGCTGAATTACAAACTAATATCAACCTGCATCTTAAGACGAATAAGGTCAGATGATATCAAGAGTCTTTACCAGAAGAACCGACTTGAGATGATAATACACGTGCACATTTGGACAGTGATGCTAAGCGGTAATGCCAGTTAGCTTGCTGAATTTTTCAGAGCTTTTTCGACAGACACACTCTTGGTCAGTTAACCCCAAGTTGTGCCACAAAAGACACGAACAGACACATTCTTAAACAAACGGAAATGTTAAATACCCACGAAAGGAGCTTATTTATGGTCATCACATAATTCTTACGTTCGGCGAGCATGGACATCATGAGGGTCCTGACGCGGCTTCAGGAGTAGGAGTCTCCCAAGGTGCCTGACGAAAATAACAGGGTGCTCTCTTGGTTGCCGGTTTGAAATTATATTTGGAATATTGTTGTGTACACTGTACGGTCCGTGGCTCATTTGGTACCGGGCCGCACAGACAGAAAGAATAATTTAAATTACCTTCGTTTTATTTATTTCGGGCGCTGAGATTTGTTTTATTTTGAAAAATCGCCGGATCCTCTGTTACATCCGTACCCAGTATGTGAATCTTGACGCAGGTCAAGGCGCGCTTCTGGTCGCGTACCGCTAAAATGAAACCTAGTCAAATGAGTAAAAAAACAAACGTATTTGGAAAGTTTCTTTGGGAAAGGCAAAAGGCCCAGCCAGGAGACAGAAGAGAAGCCTACGACTTTCATGAAAAAGAAGGCGAAATTTAACAGACAGTATCAAGAGTCCCACATCAACGGGAGATTCCCACCCACCAAGCCCACTCTGCATAACGTGGCGATGGTGAGTCGTATTTTTCATTGTACAGTATTTGCGTCGTATCTTATTTTGAAGGCACGTTTAAACGTTACCATGACGACCAGAGCGCGTTGCGGGCAAGTAGGACGTTCCTCGAGTCATGATTCGTGTTTATTAATATGTTTGGAAAATTCCACAGTTTTCATGCAGGTCATATCATGTCATTTTGTTGTATTTATCCGTCATACTTTAAAGGCCGGTCTCTGAAAATATTGTCTGACATTCAACCGGTCCGAGGGGCAAAAAAGGTTGGTGACCGCTGGTGTACAGTACAGAATTTCGCATGGAGTGTATGATCGTGTGAATGTCTTTGTACTTGGATCAGTTCTTAAATTTAGGAACTTGTTAAATGTTTGTTTGTTGTTTTATTTAAACGACCACCAAGGGGCGCTGTAATTCTAGAAAAGAGAAACGCTCGTCCCCATTAAAGTTCGATGACCCGAAAACCCTCAGCTCTTCATTTTGTGTGCGCGTGTTTCCGTGTGCGTGCGTGTTTGTGTCCTTGTGCGTGCGTGTGTGCGCGTGTGTGTGTTAAGTATGCAACTTGTTCCTATAAAAAGTCCACACATTTACAGACACATTATTATGATTTATAATTTTGCAGCAGTTTATTCAGGGTAAACTTAGCCACTGACAGTTGACAACCTGCACACGAACGTGGCATCTTGTTGTCCTTCATAAAGTCAACTCCCTTGGCTCTCAGCAGATCACACGGATTCCCGGCCAATGTTTCTGTCCTCTTTTTGTAACTGACTATTTGCAAGGCGACAAGTTGGCCGTAATTTAAATATAAGATTCACGAGGCCGGCCCGAGGCTCATCCGTGGGAGCTCACTTGAGTCAGACATATCATTTGGTTAAGTTTTTGCGGGCTGGAGAGTCCAAATGAGAGAGTGGATGAAAACAAACTGCTCCCTTTGATTTGCGCCCAATGAATCGAAAACGTTGTCTAGCATCGCCACCAAGAAGTCGGGGGCCGAAAAACAAAAGAAAGAAAAGACTGTTGTCATTTTTACAGCCAGTCTGGTTCTGATTAAATGGTGAGGTTCTGCAGAAACGCTGCAAGCGAAAACGCTCTTTGACAGCGGAGAAGTTGGTTGACCTGAAGGAGGCCTGCGGTTGTGAAAGTGGGAAAGACAGGTCAGTGGAGCAAAAACAAGTCAAAATGGCTTGACCCAATTTGAACAGCTTTTACCTGCAATCGCATGACATTTTCCGCGCCGCTCCCATGTCCGAACCCCCCCACCGTTGCCACGGCCGGCCAGACTGGCTATTATCCGAGTGACAATCTGACCCCGGAGCTGTTTTTACAACGGTGTGGCTGGAGGGATTAAAGCCACATTGTGGAACAAAGACAACGCCATATGGGCACTTTTTTTTTCTTTATTTGTCACCATCCTTGAGGTCACTCTTAGGTTCAAATACTCGTAACAGAATTCAGCGCCCAAGGTAATAGTCATACTCGTGCTCTTAAACAACTGCGCCACACTAGTGACACGACTTGGCCCATCTCGTCCGTCGACATGACGCGCTTCCTGCACCAAAATAGCCGTGACTAGTTTTTCCCCATGAGCAAAATGCACTTGCCCTCACCAGTAGGGTGAAATTGTCCGACAAAAATACCACATGGCAAGTGCGGGGCTGATTGTTCTCCTCAAGTCATATGAGCGTTTCTGAAGGTTTGTGTGCCGGTACGCTCTTTGATCTCACCGGGTCAGACCAAGGCAACCAGCGCGCATGTCATTTGAGAGGCAAAACTGCGGCCTCTTACTTCGTGACATTCTCAAATGTTGTGCAACACTTGGCGGCGGCTCAGTGAGAACGGCCGCCTTTTCAAGTCACTTCATTGTGCCGTTTTCTCCCGATGGAGGAAACAATGTGCGGCGCACACGCTTGCTTGTACCTCCGGCAGTTGCGCTGGAACGCGGTTCAACTTCATTCCGAGACAGTCGGCGGTGCAGATCCGAAAGGCCATCAAAGTCACCGGTTCTGGTCCTGACGCAAAGACGGGTTGTTCTCATGACGACCTCAGCCCAAATCGTAACATCCCTCATTCGGAACTTGTACTTGGTTGGAAAACCTGGAGCGAAATTAGGATTTTTCTGTCAATTTGACCGATATTGTCAAACCTTTTCCCCGCTAAATTGCACTCGTATCATTCATTGGAGTCGGCGAGCAACGTTGGCAAATTCACCTTCAAAATTGCAGCGGCGCAATGAGACGTAAAACACGAAATAAGTTTCAGCAGACAGCGAGTGAAGGTTGCCAAGCTCGACGTGGCCGCAAGTTTTTTTTTTTTTTTTTGTGTCATTGTGGCTTTTGTCAACCATGCAGACGCCTCGGGGGAGGGTGGCAATGGCCTCCCTCCATCGCCACGGCAACAGGTTCGAGGCACACTATTGTCATGGAGCGCTTGGCCCACTGCCCCCGCGTCTTGTCCTTCACCCCCCCCCCCCCCCGCCTGCTCCCATGTAAGCCTCTGCAAGCAGTGGGAATCTTCTTACCCCCCCACCGAGCACTGGGAGCGCTCCCATTGGCTGACGTCAGGCAAGCCTGCGGCTTACATAAGAGGCTTGAAAAAGGACTCTTCACTGGCACCGGGTCAGAAAAAAATAAAGAAGTGGAGATTTCTGCGCAAAATGGCGGGAAGGCAGCGGCAACACCAAGCAAACAAGAGCATACGACCATACTGGCAGCATTTCTCATTTCATGCCAGCCGCTTGTCTCAAATTGAGAGCCGCCGCTGCCAACCCCAGAAAATGGAGTTCCGTCGCTCTTATCAGCATGCACAGAAAGGCTCGAACCCTCTTCTTTCATCAAGAAAAAGTACATTTCGACCTTTTACTTTTTGTTCTTCTACTTCTCCCTTTCGTAATTTTGCTGCTGGAAATTGGGAATTTCTCCTTTGCGAGACAAATAAACGGTTTCTTCTCTTATCTTTACCATCGTTTGGTAAACAGCAGTCAGTTGAAATTTTGATTTCAACCGGTTTGTTGTTCCTTTTGAGTTCCTCTGCTAAAGTCTCTTTTCGTTTGGGAAAAAAAATACATTGCAACCTGGCCTAACTTTTTATGTAGTAGCACAAGAGAAAGAAGTGTTGTGGGGTGCGGTCGGCCGCAGTTGCCATTTCCGGTGTCTTCGCGCAAAGTTTGAGCTTGTTTATGCAGTGGGGCGACGATCAATCATCTCACAGCGTTCCTGCGCAAGGAATTCGTTTGACCGTCCAATACTTCTCACCTGTGGCATCTGCTTCACATGCACGCGTCCGTACAAGGAGGGCCTCCGGGGGTGACGGGACGTACTCGGGAGTCGGCTGCCAACTGCCACAAAGTCAAAATAGCGCCGCATGCTAAACTTTCTCCAACAAGTTCTCACTTGTGATGGAAAATGCTTCTCCAGCACACTCGCATGCATTGGTTTTTTTTTTTTATGTCATGTAAAAAATACAAAACAGCAGGTGTGTACATGGCCCAAGGGGATGCGAGTGTCAGGAATATTCGCAGTGCAATGAGTTCGTTCACATGTCAGAGGAAGAAAGGCCCACGACGTGCATATCGGATTGCCTAAGGTGTGTTCTTTGGAGCTTTTCAATTCCAAGTAAGGAATTTGTATTTTTTTTTTTTTTGCATCATCATGAACGTATTTGCACCCAGTCTTTTCACCATAAATAGGGTTGGGGAGGGGGAATAGAAAATAAGCCAAACTATGCAGAAAAAATGGTTTTATTTTCAACCCATGAGCAGAAAAAAAAGGACCTTTTTCTTGAAAACAAACACCTCGTCGGTACAACGCTGACGTGTCGTGCCATGTTGCCCTTCATCCCCCCCCCCAACCCCAAAATAAAATAATATTTAAGAAGCACTTTCAATGGCTACCGATAGAAAGAATAAATTATGCTGTGGAATAAACCAAAGAATTCTCCAAAACGATTTTCCACCGCTTGCCCCGCCGCACGATTTGATTTCGTAAGCCCGCCGAAGTGCATCCAAGGGCACCACTCAAGTTTTTTTTTTTTTGTTTTTTTTTTAACCTTGCTAAATCCAAAGCAATCATCGAGCTATTCCAGTTAGGCGTACATTTGCAAAGGCTCGCAAAATTTATGGTCAATTTCCATTCGAGTCAAACTCTGGATTTTTTTTTTTTCTTCCCATGCAAAGTTTCCTACTTTGAAAATTGCCAGAATTTTGCAATCCTTGTTAGGCAACCCTTGGTGATGCAGCAAAAACATTTTTTTTTCTTTCCCCGTGCAGGCGACGGGTTGTCCCATGACTGCTCCCCACCCCCACTCACCCGCAGGTTGGGCGCGGTGGAGCAATGACAGGCCTTGGGGGTGGGGGGGCTTGCGGAAAAGTGAGAGAGAGAGTCAAACAACTATGTACACAGGCCACTGAAACTGCAATCCCTCTTTGGTCATTCTATACACTATGTACAAGAAGCCTTGTTAGCTTAGCTCAGGCACCCCGAGGCTAGCTGACGCGGGCCATGCGCGTCTCGCCGCTGAGGAAGTTGAGCATGGTCTGGACCAGCTCGGGCAGGTCGTACTCGTGCTTCCAGGCCCAGTCGCGTTTGGCGTTGGAGTCGTCGAAGTCCATCGGCCAGGAGTCGGCTGCGAGGGAAGAACGACGAGCCACATTTTGTTATCTTATGACATACGGCCCAAGTGCCAAATACGTGGCCCACTTGCGGCTAAGCCAACCAAAAACGAGTCCAATTTACCGATGGCTTGCCGGACGGGGTCCACTTTGTACGAAACCTGCAGCTCGGGCATGTGCTTGCGCAGCTCCTGCACCAGCTCTTCGGGCGTGAAGCTCATGGCGTTGATGTTGTAGGTGCGCATGCCCAGCGCGTCGGCCGGCGCCTCCAGCATCTCCAAGGTGGCGCGCAAGCAGTCGTCGATGTACATCATGGGCAGCCGCGTGTCGGGCCGCAGGACGCACTCAAACTTGCCCGTCTTGATGGCGTCGTGGAAGATCTGGACGGCGTAGTCTGGGAGGGGGCACGAAAAGGGTCAATGAATTGACTCGAGCGTGCGGCAGGCTTCAAAATGAACCGTTGCATAAGAAGTGTATAAGGCTGGACGCGCTGGGACTTGACGTCGATTAAAATAATCTCTCACCTGTCGTGCCGCCGCCGGGCATGGAGTCGGCCGAAATGATTCCGGGGTAGCGGAGACAGCGGAAGTCCAGGCCGTAGCGGTGGTGGTAGTACTGCGGGGGGGGGGGGGGTCGACATTGTGTTACGGTGACAGAGTGATAGGATTGCAACACTGTCTTCCCGAAAGTCTTTCCCAAATATCGAAGAGCCGCAAACGATGCCATAAATACACACAGGTGAGCTGACTGAGCAGTTTCAATGGCGGGAAGGAATCTCCAGGCATTACCTTTTCAACACAACAGGCTTTTTCAAATGTATCTCATCTTCACTTCACCCTAAAACTACACCGATGGCTAACGAACTCCGGTGAGCGTTGCCCGTAAATTGCGCTGACCATTTAGAAGAGCGAAGGCATTCCTCATTCATCTTACCTCACCCATGAGCTCGGCGTGGACTTTGGAGACGCCGTATATGGTGCGGGGCCTTTGCACGCACAGATCGGGCGTGGGGTTGCGCGGGGACGTGGGTCCGAAGGCACCGATGGTGCTGGGGACAAACAGACGCAGGCCGTGTTCGGCGGCGATGTCCAAGATGTTGTGGAGACCTGACGAAGACCGAGAGCCGTCAGCCAAAAGAAAGAAAGAAAGAAAGAAAAGATTTGCCGGCAGGCGCGTGCGAGCGCTCGTCTCACCGGTGATGTTGACGGATCTGGCAAGGGCCACATTGGCCTCGCCGACGGCGCTGAGCAAGGCGCTGTAGTGGACCAGCCAAGTGATGCGGTTGTTCACCACGATCTCCCGCAGGTTCTTGTAGTCCAAAATGTCCGAGTAGATGAACGGGCCTGACCGTGGCAAAGGAACGTGTGTGAACCGCAATGCTTTTTGGGGGCTTTTTTCAAAAAGACCATTCATCATGAAAGAAATCCCTCAATTCATCGGACGCTTAAGAAAAATGACAGCGTGAATTTAATATGCCCTCAGTTCACTACATTTTAGAAGAAATGAATATGCCACAAAAAAGGATGAACAAATTTGATGTCATATCCAATCCATCTTTGGAACACGTCGGCTCGCTGACAAACTGTCACCTTGCCGACTGACGCGAGATGAAAAGGCTTGCTTCTTGCTCAATCCGCAGTGTGACAAAAGTGGGGAGTGAGTTGACGTACCGCTGTGGAAAACGTCGCTTGAGGGCTTCCTGATATCGGAGAGAATCACGTTGTTCTTTCCAAACTGCTTCCTGCCGAGCGACGGGTCACGTTAAATCCCCACGACAACACACACTCACACAACAGCAAAGCTCCGGCCAAGCCTTCTTACCGTAAGAGTTTTGCGAGCCCCACGCCGAGCTGCCCCAGACCACCTGCAATTGTTGACGGTCAAGCAAAGAAGACGAAATTGTGCGCGGTCCACATTGGCCCGTCTAACTTGTAAACGGAAAACAATATCGACATGATCCGGCCGGTCTGCCGTCGGGTTTGGCCCACTCACCCGTGATGAGCACTTTGGGGTGGTCCGTCTCGGAGAAGGACACAGAGTGGAAGCTGGCGTCGGACGTCACCTGGCGTGGCGAGAAGCTGATGCCGCGCACCGCCATCGCCGCCAGGGGTCGGCAGCCGCACGCCGGGCCACCCGGCGCCGCCGCCGCCTGCTTGGCCACCTTGCTGAGGGTTCTGACGACGGGCATGCTGGTTACCTGCGAGGGTTGATTCACATTTCATCATCACACTTGGTCCCATTTTTCAGCCGGAAAACCCGTTCGACTGCCACGCTATGGTGCTTGGAGTCGCTCCATCTTTTACATCAACAAAGGCCCAGTTGTGTGCATGGCCGAGAATCGCTTCGCCGGGAATGCAAACACTGAGCGTACTGGCGCTCCGCAGGGGAAAAAAAAAAGGGGGGGGCATAAACAACATGCACATTCACCAACGGGCAAATAGTGAAGACAAGTCACCAGTATTTGGAGTAGTTAAACAAGTACAAAATTGACTCCCAAGTCCCTTTTTTAAAAAATTGTCTCCCAAGACCCCCCCCCCCCACCACCACCACCAAAAAAAACAACAACAACTTAACAGTATGTCTAGTGCATTAGTTAGTTGGATTAAAAAAAAAATGGACGACCAAAGTGCCAAAAATGAAGTCACTTGTTTTGGTGAGCAACAACATGTCTTCAATGGACACGTTTTCCAATCCCCACAAATTGAAGTAATGAAATTTTACCTTCGCTTAACCCTCCGCTTCCCA